TATATATACAGTATATATATATATATGTGTGTGTGTGTGACATTATAATCATCTTCATCATTTATTATTATTATTATTACGATTATTGATGATTATTTATATTTTTACATGGATATATTCAATAAGGTTGAAGACTGTTGCACAATTTGTAATTTATTATAATATGAAAGTATGACTACTCTTTATTTACCATAAAATTTCATGGATATTATCACAATACAATACATAAGCGTGTAAAAGAGGGCGCCAATTCCCACTGTAATCGTCTCTGGTACGTTGAGTAACCTGTTGAGTGGGCGGTTTCCTTTACACTATTATGGCTAATGTCGTCATTAGATATTTATCTTACAACGTACCGAAAACGTTGATCAATTGAAAGGTATAAAAGTGTCGATTAAAATCAAAACACCATCAGTCTATCGAGGTTATACGTATACAGTGCAGATTAATTTGCAGCTTAATTGTTTTCAGACGTTATATTTTAAAGTTTATTCCAGCTTTGTAAAATGGCTTTCGACACTCAATCCTCTGATGAAGTATATATAAAATGCATGGAATTAGAACTAGACAGTCAAATGGCTGAAAGTTTTCAGAAAGCTAATAAGGGCGAAAACGCACACGACGGTGATGACGTGAGTGGAAATAATGACGATCATATTGTCCAAGACAACGAAAATAAAGAAGGATCTATAGAGCAAGAAAAACAACACGAAAAGAAAAAAAATACGCATTGTAACTGTGGAGCAGCAATGTTCATGTCAATGAGAGGAAGTGGCCGAGGAGGTGGTGGCCGAGGTGGAGGTCGAGGAATATTTTTTGGTCGAGGAGCTGGTGGTCGAGGAGGTGGCCGTGGATTTTTTGGTGGCCGAGGAGGTGGAGGTTCTAGATTTGATGGCAGAGGATTTAATGAGACTGAACAACCGGACGATGTATTTTGCACAGACCCACGAATGGGCTTTGAAGGAATCGGGGGTCGAGGTGGTGGAGGCCGAGGAGGTGGTCGAGGAGGTGGTTTTCGAGGAATTTTTGATCGAAGATTTGGTGTAGAGTTTTATGAACAAGGACCAGATGGACTTGGCAGTTTTTGGGCTCGTCCATGCATCGCACACGGAGACACATGTAACTGCGGAGGAAACGAAAACAATCCAAAATCTAAAGACGCTGAAGCCAAACAGCAGAAACCAACAGCAACAGACGAAGAACACGATTCAGAAAACGAAGATGCACAATATGATCCCCCATGTACTTGTAACACAGCAAGAGGAGGAAGAGGTAGAGGGGGATGGGGGAGGGGTGGAAGAGGTGGTAGCTGTTTTGGTCAAGATCCTAAAATAATGGGGTACTCTCAGTTTCGCAGGGGGTGGCAAGGGTTAGGTGCACGCGCACCGTTCGCCCGCCCCCAACATTTCCCTGACCAGCACAAGTCACCTTCAATGACATTTGGCATTTCCCTACCACCTCATTCAACAGACGTTCGACCGCCATTTCCACCACAAGCAAACTTTGAGGGATGTCGTTTTCGTGGACCTAGACCAGTTAGACCAGAGCATGGACTTGTTCGGTGATTGTTAAGTACCAGACTGCTGTCAACGGGGAAAATAAAAGACGAATTAATTAACCAGACCTTAAAGGACGTACAAACGGGTTAATTAATCCCCAAATACAGTTTTTGAATTCTTAATTCCCGAAAATCATGGAAATTATATGCACATATTAGGCCTAAATATAGTAAAGTTTCCATCATTTAACCTTGATTACATTGTATTTGGCAAATCAAATTTGTAGTTCTACTTAGGCTATAGTTATAGTATTAATGGCCAATAATCTAAAATGTTTAATTTAATGTTGAAACTCATATTTGATAGTGCAGTGTTCAGGTCATTGTCATGTTAAAAAAGTAGGCCTATTAAATTTAATTCTAAATTAACACTTAAGCAATTCTAAACACGAAATTATAATTTATAATAAGCCTGTCAAATTTTAAATTGAAATCTATATAAAAATGTTTAAATGTTTAAGCTAGAATAAAAATGATGCTTAAACAATTTCAATTGGCTTCCAATATATTTTTGGTTTTATAATAATTACAACCTTAACTATTCTGAATTTATACAATGCAGAATTTAGGCTGAACATTTTGAAGAATAAAATATCAGAAAAATGGATTTCTAAATTGTCCAGAAATATTTGTTCAAAATTGTTTGATTGAATTTGTTGATGAATAGAGATATTGAAAGTAAGAAAGATAAAGAAAATTTTAAATTTATTTCACACTTCTAAATTTATAATTTGCAATAGATTAAAATCTCAAATAAACCATTATGATAAACCGTTTAACATAGGCCATGACACACAATTTGTTCCCGACATGTGACGTAACATAAATGAGATTTATTTCGAGTTCTAATAGGCCTAGATCCTAAATTGAATTAGTAGAAACCACAAGAATCTAATTCAACTATACATGACTTACACTATTTCATAAATAATTTCAACATTCTCGTAACGCCTAGGCTCTTGGGGTGGGGGGTGGGGGTTGCCCAGGCACCATGCACCAACAACACTCTTCTAAAACTGAACCCAAAATACTGCTAATTAAAACAATGTAATATTAACGTGTTTAACTCACGCGAATGCCAGGAGACTTACATGACAACTCTTAATACAATATCAATTCCCAACCCAAACTGTTCCACAGCCGTTTTTCTCAAACTGATTTTTTAATAATAAAAATACTCCGAAATAATGAAGCAAAGGGTACTAGAATTCTCCATGAACTACTGCTATGCAAGCACCCTTCGTAGTCCCTATCCCACCTTTCCATCCTTCCCTGTCTGTTACTCCCTTCCCCTACTATTCTGCTACTTTTCCTTTCTACTTTATTATTATTTAAGATGTGTATAAGAGACAGCTATCGAGGTTATACGTACAGTGCAGATTAATTTGCAGCTTAATTGTTTTCAGACGTTATATTTTAAAGTTTATTCCAGCTTTGTAAAATGGCTTTCGACACTCAATCCTCTGATGAAGTATATGTAAAATGCATGGAATTAGAACTAGACAGTCAAATGGCTGAAAGTTTTCAGAAAGCTAATAAGGGCGAAAACGCACACGACGGTGATGACGTGAGTGGAAATAATGACGATCATATTGTCCAAGACAACGAAAATAAAGAAGGATCTATAGAGCAAGAAAAACAACACGAAAAGAAAAAAAATACGCATTGTAACTGTGGAGCAGCAATGTTCATGTCAATGAGAGGAAGTGGCCGAGGAGCTGGTGGCCGAGGTGGAGGTCGAGGAATATTTTTTGGTCGAGGAGCTGGTGGTCGAGGAGGTGGCCGTGGATTTTTTGGTGGCCGAGGAGGTGGAGGTCCTAGATTTGATGGCAGAGGATTTAATGAGACTGGGGTACTAGTATTCTCCATGAACTACTGCTATGCAAGCACCCTTCGTAGTCCATATCCCACCTTTCCATCCTCCCCTGTCTGTTACTCCCTTCCCCTACTATTCTGCTACTTTTCCTTTCTACTTTATTATTATTATTTATTATTATTATTATTATTATCATTATTAATAATAATAATAATAATAATAATAATAATAATAATAATAATAATAATAATAATAATAATAATAATAATAATAATAATAATAATAATAATAATAAAGTAGACTGCCCCATGTGAGGCTCGAACTCACGACCTCCAGATTTATGACACCGTACGCGCTGCCAACTGCGCCAAATAGGCAGTTATTATATTTTGATAACATTACTTTAATAATTTAATTATGTATTATCAGGGAGCAATATGACTGCTCCCTGGTATTATAATTATATTAGTGATTTACAATCATCATCATCACGGTCATCCTCATCTTCCTCATCATCATCATTTTTACTAACACATTTGTTCTCGGCTGATCAATTAATAATTATTGCAATTTTCTCGACGTTCATCTATAGAAATTCAGCTCTGAAAAGACATCTGAAAATTAAATTAGCACAGACAAAAATTTAATTAAACGACTATCCGGCAGTGCTAGAGATAACCATAATTTCAGAAACATTTTGAATTTACAAAATATTTCATGAAATCGAATAGGCCTAATTCATAGTGTTTACAATCACACATAATAATAATAATAATAATAATAATATGTCGTTCTTATATAGCGCTTCATGCCTTTACAAGGCCTCTAAGCGCTTCACATTACTACCACGGTCATTGGATCAAACACATATGGAACACATTGAAACATTAAATTAAATTAGTAAATGAAATTATATTATCATTCCATAAATGATGATGATTGCTTCAAGAAGTAACCAATACAGAATTAAATACAATAATGACAGATTTACATTTCAATCTCATATTATAAGTCACAATGTAATTCTACTGAAATTTTACTAGAAACAATAATCTAATGAAATGACTTCAGAAGTTATTAAATTTATATAATTCCGAATATTAAATTAAATTAAATAAATCTCTATTAACTGAAGTCCTTCAAGACAAGAAAGTGTTCTCTTAAGGCGTATCCTCAAAAAACGTGACATTGTCCATTAAATAGGCACTTGGCAAGCAATGCCTTACAACCTGAAAACAATGCCTTTCTTTAGTTTAATTTACATAAGAATGAGTTACAATAGAATTAAACTAAGTTGTACAAATAATTTTCAATGCAATTAAAACACATTTATGAAAAAATAAACTTGTAATTAAAATAACGTAACTTGTATATATTGCTTGTATAATATAATCCCTGAATGATCAAACATTATTCGAGTTTTGTAAAATAGAATGTTTTGTTATCTGTTATTTTTAAGGGCCTTCTATATGCAGGCATTTCCCCCTTTGTCTTGTCAAAAAACATTTATATTAAATATGGAAATGGAAATAAATGTTCATTAAATTGAATTGAACAATAAGGAACATTTGGATGGATTAAAATCTCATATGAAAGTGGGTCTACATTTTATCATGGGATAAGAACTTCACTTTCTTGGCCATGCATACAAATAATAAGATCGATATAGGTCTATAGTAGAGTAAAAGTACATGATCGATGAAGAGTTCCTTTTATCCACATCCATGGTGTAACTCTCGGGCTGAATGATGATACACTAGTAAATTTAAACGATCAAGAAAAACAAATTGTTGTTTAAATATTATTATTTCAGTCTATTTTATTGCGATGGGATGAAAAATAGGATCTTTTCAAAAAGAGTCAAAGGGATTGCACACCCATGCGTCCGCGCGTCTCTTTAATGGGGGTTCCCCTAATAACGGGGATGGTCGTTGTATTACAAACTCAATAGGGTTGTCCCAAAGTAGTGGTCCTATTGCATCGAAGATATCTTAGAGATATCACAGTTTTATCTTAGTTTTAGAAAAACATATTAGTTTTAACACTAAGAATCTATATTTGCAATTAAACGACGGTTCGGCCTTGACCCATTGTTATACTGCTAAGAATACAATTCCTATTTTCAAGTGGAATACTCTAGTCTAGTGCAGTTTAATAGTTTTATCAGCTCAGACAAGTGACACTGCGCGTACGGGAGGACCAGGTAGGTTTTGACTGAGGTTTTAGTATAATCAGGGAGGTGTAAAAATAAGTGGTTTGTTGTTTCCGATAATTTCTGTAGAATCTATTGGTAAACAGGTTTAGGTTGATAAAAATATCTGTAATTTAATAAGCAGATTTATGGCTATATAGGCCTTAGGCCTACGCGCAATGGTAGAGCAGGCCTAGGCCTAGCCTAGCCAGCTTGTGAAAATCTCAGCAAGATTGATAGGCCTAGGCCTAGTTAGTTTTCTTTCTAATTAGCAAATGTTTTGATTGGTCTGACGAGTCGTGGCTCCTCTGCTGCAGGTTGCTTCCACTGTTTACACAGCCATGTTTAATAAGGCAGAAAATATTTTATGGATATGAATATGGCCCCTTGCTATATTGTATTGGTGTGACCCGCTTTCTAGTCAAAACGGCAATATTAAACCAAATCGTCAATAAACTAAAACGGCAATAAGTCAAAACGGCAATAAACCAAAATGGCAACACATCCAGAATTCAGATTCAATATTTATTTTGGCTTTGGTATATCATCAGTTCAGTTTATCATAAAAAAATTCAGATAAAATTTGCTGCACAAGGCAGGACACACAATTACAATAAAAAATGATGCAAGGATGACCTATGAAACTTTTCTTTAAGATGTAAAACTTATTTCCAACCAAACATGAAAATATAAAACGATTAAATACGGTAAAAATTTAAATAATATTAAAAAAACATTAAATTACAGACAAAAAGATGCTCAACCATTAAAAACGCGAATAAATAAATAAATAAAAATAATCATAATAATAATATTAATAGTAACAACAAATTCAATAATAAAAATTTGGGGAAACAATATAAAAGCAGCAAACATTCATCAAATAAATAAAACTTAAATATACAGGCAAAATGAGGCATCTACAAAATTTTGCTCCTTTGCCATTTTGGTACCTTGTCATTGCCATTTTGATTTGTTGCCGTTTTGGTACTAGTCATTGCCGTTTTAGTTTATTGCCGTTTTGATTATTGCTGATTTGGTAATTCCTGTTTTGGTTTATTGCCATTTTGACCTGCTATGTGTACCCCTCATGGCCGTACCTAATATTAATAATAAGCACCTGGATAATTTTTTTATTTCCCATAATGCAGATTGTGTTTTGTGATCAACACGAACTTGGCCATTGTACGGCTTACGTATTATTTAATTGTAAATTATAATATATAAATAATAGATTATGATCGCTTGTACTTCAACACCTGCTTCTAATGTGTGAAAGTGGATTAAATACTTCAAATTTTTTATACACTATAATGGCAGGTCACTACTTTTCCAACTTCCCCCTCAAAACACCGTTTGTTTGATATACACTAATTTACTTGCTTTCTTTAATTTTTTCCAGCCATGGTATCGTGTGGCCGAAATTTTATAGATTTTGCCAATGTGTTCAAAGCCTTTGTTGGGAGCTTTTATCTGTCTGTTGCTTATTGGTTCAGCCAGTGTGGTTAGATGTGTATAAGAGACAGGAAGTGCATGAGGATGCGCCATAGGCCTATATTTAAAAAAATACATTTTGTTAATTATTATTGGTTGGCCTGGGACCTAGGCAGGCAGGCCAGCATTGCCGTCGAAAGTCCTGGGATTCGACGATAACGTCAGTGCACATGTTTACAAACGCCATTGATTGGAACATGGACCTTATTAATAGGTCCATGATTGGAATGAAAATAGACGCGCTGAAATTCGTTTGTTTTATGAACGATAGTATTTATCGAACATTTATCTATATAAAAACAAGATTAATATTGTAGAAATTGTATTTCTAAAGATTCATATATAATTCATATTTCATTTGGTAGACAATAAATATTCAGTAAGATACTAAAAACGATTATTAATTCTGAAATGTGCATCAAATCCCAGCTATTATTAATCAGTATGTATTAGGTTAAAGTCTTAAAATAATAATTTCGAATTAGGCCTAGTAAACAAATAATTGTAATTTAAGTTTAGGTTCCCATGATGTCAGATGACATATGATATGATGCTATATTTTGGACTCTGACTTAATTTAACGATGGCCCTGTCAGTTGTAGTAATGACAATATTTGTGCTTTTTTAGCCATGTAGTAAAAATAGTAGGGCCTAATATTATTTTCAGTGTACAAGATGAGAGTCAAAAAGAAGTTCAGCTCCTACTTTATTTTGTAACAGGCAGCTCTATTTGTTTATATAGGCCTACTGGAAGATTCATTATTTAAGTTAAAACAAGACAACATTTCTTAAATGTTTTATATATATAAAGAAGCACAGTACATAATTCTTTGTAAATTACTTTATAGGCCTATACAATAGCTTGTTTTGTTTTATAATAATAAATGTGTTGAGTATACTGATATTGATTATACGATGAGGTTTTTTTTTTTGTCTTTCGGTGTGATTTAAACATGCTAATTCTCAGAAAATATTTTCCAATTTTATTATATTTCTAGATGTGTATAAGAGACAGTTATTACATAGATCTTTTTCAAAACATAACTGCTTTTATAACATTATATGGACCCATTAAACACAAAAACTGCTCTGGCTTCAGGGGCTTCGCCCCCCCCACCCCACCGGGGCCCTTAGGCAACCCCTGGACCCCACGCCCAGAGAACCCCCCCTTGAAATGACCTGGCTACGGGCCTGTTTTGGTACTAGTCATTGCCGTTTTAGTTTATTGCCGTTTTGATTATTGCTGATTTGGTAATTCCTGTTTTGGTTTATTGCCATTTTGACCTGCTATGTGTACCCCTCATGGCCGTACCTAATATTAATAATAAGCACCTGGATAATTTTTTTATTTCCCATAATGCAGATTGTGTTTTGTGATCAACACGAACTTGGCCATTGTACGGCTTACGTATTATTTAATTGTAAATTATAATATATAAATAATAGATTATGATCGCTTGTACTTCAACACCTGCTTCTAATGTGTGAAAGTGGATTAAATACTTCAAATTTTTTATACACTATAATGGCAGGTCACTACTTTTCCAACTTCCCCCTCAAAACACCGTTTGTTTGATATACACTAATTTACTTGCTTTCTTTAATTTTTTCCAGCCATGGTATCGTGTGGCCGAAATTTTATAGATTTTGCCAATGTGTTCAAAGCCTTTGTTGGGAGCTTTTATCTGTCTGTTGCTTATTGGTTCAGCCAGTGTGGTTTGATAGTGAGTAGACTAAGCTTTGTCCACACTATCAAATACTCCTTGACAAAAAACTATTGTATACCCATATATGGTCATGATGTACCTTTATATGGTCATCATGTGCCTATATATGGTCATGATGTGATATCATTATGACCATATTTAGGCATGTCACATGTTTTTGTCAAATGAAATTTGATAGTCTGGACAGGGCTTTAGAAATTTACCTTCAAATTCAGGGTTTTTGGTTCAATCCTGGAAATGGCCTGGAGTAATTTTCACGGAGCTTAAAAATGGAATGGAATTCCCAACGTTGTACGAATGTTGGCTGATGAATCCAACTCCGAGCCGTGTGATCATTAGAATATGCAACACCATCTGCTGATTGTCGATGGCAGTCTGAACGGATCGTCATTAAAAATGATCCGTTGCGTGAGCGTTGTGGCATTTCGTTCTTCATGGAATCGTGTCGGCTGACGACCGTTGAGTGCAGTGAGTGCCCGGGTTTAGAAAGAGAAAATGGCGTATTGATTACAGTGCTTGACTAAAACAATTTTTGTTTCCTGGTTCTAGTCATTTGACTACCAAAGCCAAAGTCCCTTTTTGGAGCACCAGCCTTTCCCTCTAAATAAAACACATTGTTTGGATTTGCATAAATAGCAGTTTCCTTTAACAATTAGCTCATATTGATTTATTTGAAGTCATTGTACAAGATATGGGTTGAAGTGGTTTGGCGCAGCGAGAACAGTTTAGTTTGCCAACCTCAAGGTCGGGGTTTCAATCCCTCGCAGTGCATTTCACTTGTGTTCTTGAGCAAGGCACTTTATCTGCATTGCTTCTCTCTACCGAAGGAGGTTCGAATGCAAAAATGCACTGCTATTTCATGCAGCAAACCATGGAATTTCCCCCATAGGCATCGTTCCCAATGACTAGGGTAGTAATGTGGAAAAGCGCTCTGAGACTAAGTTGTATAGAGCGCTATATTAAAGCTTATATATTATATTATCATAATTATTTTAACACTCCATTAACAAAAATTTTGTAAGCACTGTTGCACTTATTTGGTGATTTATAGTAATCATAAAAATGAATTTATGTTGTATTTTATAAATATTCATTGTGTCTGTTTTTCATTTTTTCTGCAGCTCACTATGGTGTGTATTTTAGTGACTGCTATAACAACAGACTATTGCACTCAGCTGATGATTAAATGTAAACATGAAATCATAAATAGATTGACCATAATTGATAAAAAAGAGCAAGATATAACTCCTGAAGAAAAAGCTCACCAGTTGCAAGAAAGGGAAAGGATTGGTCGGAACCTCACATACGCTGAAATTGCAAATATAACTTTAGGAAAAAATGCTGTTTATGTGGTTAACACAGCAATTTTTATTACACAATTTGGATTTACTACCCAATATATAATATTCCTTGGAAATACAATACAAGCATTATTTCCATATACTGCAAATAATTCAACCAATAATTCAAATTTAGCGGATGGCGATATTTACCCTGTGAACGATAATGCGAGATTGACTACTGCACCGGTCTACGAGCTGACAGTTATCATACCAATACCATTTTTTATTGCTTGTTCTTTGTTCCGGGATGTCCGTAAGCTGGCGCCTGTAAGCCTGGCTGGCAATATGGCTATCTTTTGTGGGTTTTTTGCAACGCTGGGAGTTATCTACAGTGGTACAGTATTGTCATTTATTTTCTGTATAATGTTTTTAATATTTGTCAGTGTATAGCTACTTTGCAGATAGGAAATCAATAGGGGTGTCTGGCTCATAAATGGAAGTGGGGGTTTCTATGGTTCAACTGAAGCCCTTTTTTGAGTAAATTCTCCCTGTTATACCAAACCACCCCCTATCTACAGTATTGTCATTTATTTTCTGCATAATGTTTTTTAATATTTGTAAATGTATAGCTGCTTTGCAGATTTGAAATCATTAGGGGTGTCAGGCTCATAGCTGGGGTGGGGGTGGTTTCTATCGTTCAATTGACGCCCTTTTTTGAGTAAAACCTACCTGTTCAACCAAACTACCCCTCCCCTGTCATCAAAAATCATATATAGTAACAAATTGATGTCAATTAAGTTGCTGATTGGATATTTATTTGATGTGAAATGGATTTACCTCCTCAGAGAAAAATGCTTTAGAATATGCTTTAGTATCAAAATAGATGGTACTTTAAATAATCAACAAATATCTTCTGTTGCTTCTTGCTTAGATTTTCACATAATCGAAGAAATCCAGTTTGCCCAATGGGCTGCACTTCCACTTTGTTTTGGGGCAGTATCAGGAGCTTTTGAAGGCATTGGAACAGTGAGATTTATTTATGTATAATTATGCATTACATACATTTTAAGATGTAGAACCACCTTTTTTGTAGAAAACCTTTACCCAAGCATTCAAGAATGAAACTGAAACCTTAAGAGTAAACATTAGGAATGACATTTTAAATTGAACTTCTCTTTCTTGGGGCTTATTTACATAATATCTTCATTGTATAAAATGTCCCAAACCACTTCCTTGTATTATAAGGTACAACCTTCACTGTAATGCCAAATGCTTACAAGTGCATATATATTTTTATGCACCAGTGGAGGTGTAACTCAATACCAAAGTGTGGGTGTGTGTGGGTGGGTGTGTGTATAATATATATACATATATATATACAGTATATATATATATTTATGTATTTATTTGTATATAAATATATATAGTATATTCATTTATGCATTATATTGATTTATTGTAATTGTATAATTGTAATATATATATATATAAATATACACACACATATATATATATATATAT